CTATGGTATCCAGACAGAAATATCCAGAAGTTTGCATATTGTTTTTCACTGGCAAGTTACTGATATCCAATGAGTTCTGAGTATACATCATTAATTGGGAAATATTTTAAAATAATGCAAAGAAGTCATGTCAAAAGAAAAGCACACCTGTGGCAATGATGACTCAACTATAAAATTAATAATTTCAAATTAAAATATTTGATCAATTGTAAAACAAAAAAACATTAGATGAAAATATTTGTTTTTGGGTTTTTTTACTCTTAGTGTCTATGAGGCTATGTAAAGAGCTACCATTTTACATATCCTACATTACCTTAAGCATTGAATATAATTATATTATGAGTGGTACATGACAATGCCTAATTAATGCTTAAAACTGTCTACACATACACACATAGACAATCTTTAATTTAAATATTTTTCTTTACTCCTATCAGCTGTAGTTATTTCTGTTTTATTTTATCAACTACTTTCCAGACCTCAAAAAAAACAGCTCCCCTTTTTTACTTCCCCAGGGCCATTATAGTACTACCATCTCTCTGAATTCCCCAGAATTGAAAGCTTGTATATTTTTTGTTTGTTTTTGCTTTCTTTTTTAAACAGTTTTATTTCTTTATAGTTTTTAATTCTCCTTCAAGCACACATAGTCATTAGTCACAAACTTTTAATTTTTTTCACAATATATCTTGGCTACTTCATTTGTACAATTGCGTTTTAGACCAAATTATCCTCATATATTTATTACCAGTCAACAGCTGAAACTTTGCTTGCTGTTGTCTCCCTTTATGGCAACATTCTATGCATAGACACATATATGATCAACATGTATCAGGCTGGTTCCTCTCAAGATGAACAATTCCTGATTATTTTTCCTGTTTTATAGTAGGTCAAGTACGTATTTCTCAATCTAGTTCTCTAGAAATTCTTTTAAAACTCTCTCAACTCTTACTGATTTCATAAGTAGCCACCCAAGCAAACTGTTTATCATAGATCAAATAAAACTTTATAATCTACTTTTCCACATCTAAGTTGTTGTGTTTCCATTCCAATAGAAATTTTTATCCTAAAGCAATTCTGTCTTCAATTTATTCACAAATCTATGTCTAGCATTAGGTCAATGTTTAGCTCTTTAAGGGATTTCTTCTAATTAAAATTTTCTAGCCAAATGAGTGAGAAGAACGATGAAGAATTAGAAAGTAATACAACAAATATTAACAATCCCATAAACTTTCAAGTCCCTTTCCCTGATTAAATGCTATTTGAATATTACACTTAAGAAGGTAGCTGTCAAGCTCAAAATGTTTTTAAATAGAAAATATTAAATGCTATTTTATTTGTGAAGTTGGTTAGATTTTATCATATCAAATGTTGACCAGCAAATTATTTTGTTGTGAAAGTTCTTATTTTAGGGATTCTCTCTTGTAATCTATTTTTGTCATCAATATATTAATTTGTTTTAGAAATATTTACTTTAGAAACATTAAACTTTGTGTAAAATGAAATATTTTACACAAAGTTTAATATTTCCAAAAGTAAATTTTCTTATGCTGTCAAAATGTACTTAACAAGAATAATTATCTATGTTTCCCACATTATTATATGTATATAATAAATATATATTCAGAAATATGTTTCCCTATCAGACATAAAAGGTTTTAATGTATGCTATTATCTTGCTTAGATAAAAAGATAAACTATTCTCAAATTCTTATATAATTCCCTTCAATTATATTAGAGAAGATGATGTATGAAAGACTTATGAAAGCCAAGTACAATCAATTACGTATTATAATTGTTATTGATATTGTGTTTTACAATAAAAACTTTTGTGGTTGGATATCTATGCTATTGGGAGATATCAGAAAATACTATGCTCGTTTTTTTTTCCCACTTTTGTAAGCAATAATCTATAGTTAAGATCAAATCTACGTTGAAATAGAGAGTCCTAAAAGTCTGAACTGGAGATAAATGGGTAATAGATATCAAATTTCCTAAGAAGGAAGAGTTGAAATGCAAAGAGATAGGTAACACTGATGGGGTTGATGGGACCTGAGCAACATCTAATGAGGAAATCTTATTTTTCTTTTCTTTTTTTAAAAATATACTTTTATTGATTTCACAGAGGAAGGAAGAGGGAGAGAGAGATAGAAACATCAATGATGAGAGAGAATCATTGATTGGCTGCCTCCCGCACGCCTCCTCCTGGGGATCAAGCCCACAACAGGAGCATGTGCCCTTGACTGGGAATCGAACCCAGGACCCTTCAGTCCGCAAGCTGACACTGTTTCCACTGAGCCAAACTGGCTAGGGCGGAAATCTTATTTTTCAACAAAACTCCTTGAAAAGCCCAGTGACTTCCTCTGGAATAATAATAATAAAAAATAATGAATAGCACTAGCTTTAGTGAGTACTAGTATGGTTCAAACACTACTATTGAACTGTCACTTTGTTTTTCCAAATATATTTTATTGATTTTTTACAGAGAGGAAGGGAGAGGGATAGATAGTTAGAAACATCGATGAGAGAGAAACATCGATCAGCTGCCTCCTGCACACCTCCTACTGGGGATGTGCCCGCAACCAAGGTACATGCCCTTGACCAGAATCGAACCTGGGACCTTTCAGTCCGCAGGCCGACGCTCTATCCACTGAGCCAAACTGGTTAGGGCTGAACTGTCACTTTTATATCCCATTTTCTTTTGTGGGGTGTTTTTTTTTTGCACATTATTTTTTATTTTTTATCTTTATTGTTGAAAGTATTAGAATGTCTCCCCCTTTCAATTTCCATTGTCCCCCACCACCAGGTTCCCACCTCAGGCCTTCCTCACTCTGTTGTCTGTGTTCATGGGCAACGCATACTTGCATATAAATCCTTTGGTTGATCTCTTCCCACCCCCCTCTCCCCTTCCTTCTGAGATTCCTCAGTCTGTTCCATGTTTCCATGCCTCTGGTTCTGTTTTATTCATCAGTTTATTGTGAACCTTAGATCCCATTTTCTTTTCTGAAGGGTATTTCTTGAAGTAAATTTTTCTCTCCATAGCATCTTTCCTTCTAAAAAGTAAATTTCTGCTACTACATGATGGAATTGATCCTTGTATTTCAAAATGTAGGTTGTAGCCAAGTTTTCGTTAGGCTGCGGAGATTAACATTCAGTTAAAATTAAAAATTTCATATCAATTTGGTAGTGTGGAGGCATCATTCATTGTGTAAAACTCTCTTACAGGGAAAGGGTTCATTGAAATAGGAAGTAATGTAGTATAGTATTTCTTTGTTCCTTTTTTTATCAGCTTCACTTGGTCTTCATGCTCTCATAGTGTCCTTCACTATGTTCCCAGTTTGTTGGGTGCAATGTTGTATCAGGAACAATAATGCTAACACTACTACTACTACTACTACTACTACTAGCCAAGAGTGATTTTGCAATTATTATATACTAAATGTTTCATGTGTATTATCTCATTTAATCTTTATAATATGCATGTACACATAACGACAAAAGAAAGATGGAAATCTGGAAATTTGACTTTTGTCAACATCCTCTTCTTTTCTTTCTGTGGAGGAAAGAGTAGAGCTTTAGGTGCTCTGACTGACCCTTGTCTCCCTCACAAAAGTAATCAGGGTGCCTTGTGAGTAGTAATTTCTTAAGAAGTATTTGTTAGAAAAATAGAAACACATCTAAAAGAGGTTTAATGTGGCTATAGAGTGTGACCTTTGATATGGTATGACCTCAGACTTTAGCTGCTTTGGATGTTTTGTTACTTAAGTTCAAAGCCTCCTTACAACTGTTCTGCTTGTTACGATGCTTTTACATATTTTCATGGCAGAGGATCTGCCTTAGTAACTGCGCTGAGTCACATTTTCCTTATGGCACAGACATGACTACCCTTGTTTTACAAATGTATGAAAGAATCACAAAGTAGGCCAAACATGCTATTCCTATTGAATTGATCAGAGTAACATAAAAATGTGTTAAAAAGTTTCCTGGTTATAAAAGAATTGCAGTTTTTTAACATTATATTCCACCTTTAAATGCCAAGGGAAATTTCTTAACAGATTTTTTTATGTGATAAGTCCCTTTAATGGAATTCTTTTTAGGCCAATGCATTTGCACAGCCTCAGAATATCATATGTAATTATTACATCTGTTATTCTAGGCTTTAAATATAAAAATTTCAGTTAATCAACTGGAGCAGAAATTCTTGTGTCAAGCTCTTAAAAATCTATACATTGAGAAGCATGTTTTAAACTATTCAATGCTGAGTAAAATACTTGCTAGATAATAAATATATAAACTAATAGTTTCTTAATTTAAAATAGGCACACTTAAGCTTATATATTTCAAATACATTTACTATTTTGATTTCTTTTTCTACAGTCTACTTATTTTGCTTTTACCTGACAGCTTTTGTCTTTATTTAACAGAATAGTTTTTTATTCCCTTGAATATTCCCTGTAATATTCTACTGTACATGTAATATGTGATATGCATTGATGCTTCCCAGGAACTTTACTGATTAAGCAGTCTTAGGGAAATGCTTTCTTTTTATTTTTAAAAGATGTTCTAGCTCTTCTCTTTTTGTTCCAAATATTTTAACAAAAGCCTGACTTTGGCTCCATAGTGAAACAGATGTGGTTTCCGCCTCAGGTCCGGAGCAAGTTGTTTACACTCTACAAGACTTAGCTTTCAGCACATAATTTTTAGGAGATTTGTGTCTTCTGAATAAATGTTAGCAAAGATGATATACTTACTGTATTTCAACAACATGTAGAGTTTTTCTAAAACAAATTTTAAAGGACAAATTATATTTCAAGTACAAGTTATAGTAAAAAACTGTGGACAAATTTCATAAAGTAATTTTAGGAACAATATACAAGCTATGTAGAAAGCATAATAGATTTGGTGTTACTGGAGAATGAGTTTGTAGCTTTATGTTCTAAGTCATCTTAGTTCCCATACTATTTCTATTCAAGTAACTAAAATGATACATTTTTGCTTTTCAGTCATTCAAGACTGCTTGCAACTGATTGCAGACAGTGACATGCCTACTATACGAAAAGGTAATAAAATAGTCCCAGTAATTTTTCCACTTAGAATTCAGTATAGTCCAATTAGTTATAAGTTTCAAGTCCAAAGACTGTATTCAAATTTCAGGTCAAATCAACTCTCTACTTCAAACTTCTTATAGTCAGATGTAAAATAATAAACAAATTTATTCAAAATAATTAGGGAATAGATATATAAATATTTTAAAACAGAATTATCTTAGAGACACTAATACTTAGAAATTTTAAATAGCATATGATAAAACAAAATCAATATTAAAGCAAATTCAATTTTTTATTATTTAAAAAATTGGGTCCGGTGCATGAAAATTTGTGCACTCCGGGGGGTCCCTCAGTCTGGCCTGCACCTTCTCGAAGTCCAGGATCAGGCCTAAGCTGACAGTCAGATATCCCTCTGGCAGCCCAGAACCCCTTGGGGGATATCTGACTGACAGCTTAGGCCTGGTCCCCCACTGGGGAGCGGGCCTAAGCTGCAGTTGGATATCCTTAGCGCTGCCTAGGAGGTGGGAGAGGCTTGTGGCTTAGCAGAGCACCCCCTATAGGAGCGCACTGACCACCAGGGGGCAGCTCCTGCATTAAGCATTTGACTGCTGGTGGTCAGTATGCATCATGGCGACTAGTCGTTCCAGGTCGTTCTGCCATTAGGGTCAATTTGCATATTACCCTTTTATTATATCGGGGGGGAAAAGAAATGAACAAGATGTAAATGCTATTCATAAAATTAAATGCTATTGAGAAACATAAAGCAGTCAAGGGGTAAGGGAATGTTTGGGTTGTGACCCATAAAAGGGAGTTCAAAAGTGTTAGTAAATTAAGCTGGAGCCAGGAATGGGGAAACAAGTCCAGATGACAAATTTGGACTGCCCTCTGTAATGATTCCCAGGAGTGCTATCTTGCATGTGTATTTTTCTATGTGATTTTAGTTATTTTAAACATAACAGAAATATTAAACTATTTGAAATTATATTATTATTTATGACTCGCATTTTCCAAAGGCATATGTTTTCAACTTTTAATAGGCAGCAAACTGTTTCCTCAGAATTAAAATTAAGCCAGCAAAAGACCTTAAGTTCCAAAGATAAAATTTTTAGAAATGTGACTTGGAAAAGATTTGTTTTGCACATTTGGCCAAAAAAAATAAATGCTATAAACTACACAGAAAAATACAGCTGCTACTCCATTGTAGCACGGATTGCTCAGTGTTATGATTTTCTTGGTGTGGTGGCTGCTCTCCACTGATCCAGGGTGCACATCTGGGTGCTTTGCCCTTTGGACCCATGGGTTGGCTTTGTGATGCCACCAAGCATTGGACAGTATGTAAATGTAAGCATACATGTACGTTTCAGTAATATTGCTCTACTGTGCCCTATAAATTTTGATATGTTGTTTCCATTTTTATTTGTCACAAGATATTTCTTCATTTACCTTTTGGTGTAATGGATGATGCTCCAATCGACTGAGCCACCTGGCCACGGATTCATTTACCTTTTGATTTGTTTTTTGACCCTCTGGTTGTTCAAGAATGTGTTAACGTCCATGCATTTGTGAATGTTCCAGTTTTCCTCCTGTTATTGATTTCTAGTTTCATGCTGTTGTGGTTGGAAAAGATACTTAATATGATTTCAGTGTTTTCAAACTTTTGGGACTTCGTTTGCACCCTAACATTTCATCTATCCTGGAGAATTTTCCTCTGTACTTAAGAAAACTGTATATTTTGGTACTGTAGAATAGAATATTCTGTATATCTGTTACGTTTACTTAGCCTGTAGTGTTGTTCAAATATTCTATTTCTGTAGTAATTTTCTTTTGGATGATCTATCTATTTCTAAAATGGGGTATTGAATTGTACTCTTACTATATTATTGTCTACGTTCTCTTTAAGAGCTCTTAATATTTTCTTTACACATTTAGAGTCTCCAATGTGCGATATATATATTTGTTATATCCTCTTGATGATTATCATATAATGACTTTCTTTGTCTCTTGTGACAGTTTTTGACTATCCATTTGGTCTGATATAAGAATAGCCACTTCTCTCTTTTGTTTACTATTTACATAGAATATTGTTTTCTAACCCTTCCATTTAAGACTCTCTGTGTTTGTAAAGTTAAAGCGAGTCTCTTGTAGGCAGCACATGGTTGGATTTATTTAGCCCATTCAGCCACTCTAAACTTTCACTTCCCGCTCCCCCACACATTATGTTATTGATGTGATAGTTTACATCTTTTTATGGTGTGTAACTTTTAAATTACTGTAGTCATAGTTCTTTTTAATACCTTTGTCTTTTAACTTTTACACTAGAGTGAAAGTGATTTACAACTCACGTCAGCCATTTATTTCAGGTTGTTTACCGGAAATTTGTTTCCTTTCTTTGATTGTGTTGTGCTTTCTGGATTCTTCATATTCCTTGTAGATTTGCTTTGTTATCTTTTCCTTTGAAGAAGCAGCTACCTCTTTCAGTCTTTCTGGACTGATTTTGACTGGGAAACATGTTTCTTGGTTAGTAGGGCTTGGTATTAGCCACACTAAGGCTAGGGACAAGGCCCCCTTTGCTTCCTTTCTTCCCTGCTGAAGGGAAAGCATCAGTTCTCTGCTTTTCTTCAATCATGCAAAAAATGTTGGCTATAAGGGGATGTTCTCCCCTTTTCTTTATTTCTAACAGTATCAGGGACCAAGCTCTTTTGCTTTATCCGTGTTTGGTATGAGGCAAACTCTCTCCACAGAAGGCAGACTCCCCATCCCTCCACAGGAGGGAATCATGGGCTGAAGCAGGCTTCTTGGTGCTGAGCTAAACCTATTAAGGGGAGGGACTGATGTGAGTACACTTTGTGCTCTTTAGGATACTTCTACTTCTTAGCTGGATTCTGAATTTCTCTTCAAGGTATTTTGGTTCCAATAATATTGTTAAATCATTGTTTCTGAGGAGGGGTAATTTATAAGGCTTTCTACGTTGCCATGTCTTGCTGACATAATCCCTCATTCAGAACTTTAAATATGTGATTCTACTGCCTTTTGCCTACATAGTTTCAAGTGGGAAGTCAGCGGTTATTATTAGGCATCCCTTGTACTTGAGGAGTTGCTTCTCTCTTGCTGCTTTCAAGATACTATCCTGTCTTTGTCTTTGAACTGATTCATTTTAATATGTCTTGGTATGGATCTTTTTGAGTTTATCCATCTTGGAAGTCATTGAGTTTCTTGGATGTATAGATTTATTCTTCTTCAGAGTTGTAAAGAGTTGGCAATTATTTCTTCAAATATTCTTTGTGTGCCTTTCTCTTCTCCTTCTGGAACTCTCTTAATTCATATATTAGTGTGATCGATGGTGTCCTACAGGTCTCTTATGCTCTCTTTACCTTCTTTTTCTTTCTGCTGTTCAGACTGGATAATTTCAATTGTTCCGTCTTCCCTTTTGCTGATTCTGTCTTTTTAAAAAATATATATATTTATTGATTTCAGAGAGGAAGGGAGAGGGAGAGATTGAAACATCAATGATGAGAGAGAATCATTGATCAACTGCCTCCTGCAGCCCCCTACTGGGATCCAGCCCACAATCCAGGCATGTGCTCTTGACCAGAATTGAACCCAGGACCCTTTAGTCTGCAGGCTGATGCTCTATCCACTGAGCCAAACCAGCTAGGGATAATTCTGACTTTTGTGTGCTCTATCTGCTGTGTAAACTCTCCAGTAACTTTTCCCCGCAGCTGTTTTACTTTTCAGCTCCACAAGTTCTATTTGGTTCCCTTTTCAAAATTAATTTTTATCTCTTTACTGATAGTGTCTATTTATTCAAACAAAATTCTCCTGGTTTTCTTCAGTTCCCTTTCCATGATTTCCTTTAGCTCTTTAAGCATATTTAAAAGATGTAAAGTCTTTTTTTTCTGTTAAGTTCAATGACTAGGCTTCCTTGGGAATGGTTTCTGACAATTTCTTTTTTTTTTCCTGTGAATGATCCATAATTTCCTGTTTGTTTATATGTTTTGTATTTTTCTCTGAAGATTGAACAATTTAAATATTATAATGTAGTAAGTCTAGAAATTACATGTTTTCCCATCCCACAGGTTTGCTGTTGATTGTTGTGGGCTGCAGTTGTCCATTGGTTTATTGATTTTTCAAAAATATTTTTGCAAAGACTGTATTTCTTATTCTGTGTGGTCACTGAAGTCTTTTTTTTTTGTTAGCTCTGTGGTCAGCCTTATTTTTTTCATAGAATATTATTTATTAGCGAAGACTAATTAGGGCATATATCAACATATAGTTTAATATTTTAATGTTGATTGAAAAGCACATTTTAAAAGGTTAGTATGATATGTACATTTTTTTGTTTGTGTTTTTT